TGCAGACCGGGACGGCCCTGCTCCCGGGCCGGAGTCGGCCGAGCAGGACCCGCGCTCCTGGCGGCCGCCCCGCCGCAGGACGTCGAGAACGCGGCTGCCAAGGAGCGCCGCTGTGGGGGACCGTGGCCTCGGGGCACCACCGGTCCCTGGAGGCCGCCTCAGGCACCTAGATACCACCGCCGGTCCCTGCAGGTGCTCGGAGCGGCGGCGCTGGCCGGTCGTCCGCCCCGGCCGGCTGGCGGTGGTGGCCCACTTACAAGGCCCGGCTCACCGGCCGGACCGGGGCGAGCCGCCCGACCGGAACCCCCGACATCCGGTCATCCGTCGCGCTGTGCCCCGGGCACATCCGGCGCCGTTTAAAGCGCGTGGTGCTAATTTTGGCGCACCGTCGGTACCATCATGTCTCGACACAAAGGGCCGCCGCTAGCCCGCGTTTCGCGTACATCGATGCGTCTTACCCTCCCATTATGAGAACGGCTCGATTAGACTCGGCGCCGGTCATGACCCGGGCACCACTGGCAGCCGGGGCCGGTCGTTAGCTGGAAGCCGGCGCTTCTTTCGCGGTTGCTGACCGATCACGAGGCTCAGCATTGGTTGGCCCGGCTCGTAGGCGGCGGCAGTGTGCAGGGTTGAGCTGAGCAGTGTCGCCGCCGCCGCGGCCCGACCGACCTCTGAGCGGCCCGGCCGACCTCTGAGTAGACCGGCCGACCACTGAGCAACCCGGCTGACCTCTGAGTGGCCCGGATGACTTCTGAGTGGCCCGGCTGACCTCTGAGCGGCCCGGCTGACCTCTGAGCGGCCCGGCTGACCTCTGAGCGGCCCGGCTGACCTCTGAGCGGCTCGACCGACCTCTGAGCGGCTCGACCGACCTCTGAGCGGCTCGATCGACCTCTGGCGGCCCGGCTGACCTCTGAGCGGCCCGGCTGACCTCTGAGCGGCCCGGCTGACCTCTGGCGGCCCAGCTGACCTCTGAGTGGCCCGGCTGACCTCTGAGCGGCCCGGCTCGCGGCCGGGCTCCCCAGACGGACGGACTGTGGCGCCGCGCTGCACAACACTGGGCCTCCAGGCCTTCGGACGAGGCGGCCTTGGTTTTTACAGATGGTGGATGCCAATGCACGTTATCTCGGGGCGTGGGCGTCGCAGCACGATCGGACCCGTCACGTTCTGCAAGGTTTCCCCGGGAGGACGGCCGGCACGCTCGGCGGGGCTCATCGCCAGCTGCCTCGCACCGCGGTCCGTCACTCTTACACCTGGCGCCTTGCGCCTGAATCGACCTCACTCAGAGCGGTCCTGGAGGCCCGCCATAGCAGGGTGGAGGAGCTTACTGGGATCTCTCGTCCTCTGCGAGGTTCACCTGGACCAGTCCCCCCCCCCCTCCTTAGAGTCTGTCTCTCTTGATCTCCCTAGGAGCGTCATCACAGCCGCCGCCGGCACAGTCATCAAGATGATCGCGTTGATGACTGACTGCATGTTGCATCCGTTGGTGGTGGGTGACAGCGCACGTGCCTTTGTCAAGCAGCAAGAGACAAAGTGGTACGGAGAGAAACCATTTTGAAAGTTTGACGTGCGGAGCTCATGCTTTTTAGCGTGCGGCAAACCCAGCATCCTTGGAATTCTACAGGCTTTTTTGACCGGCCGGCATCGGAATATTTTCGTTCCTCGGCATGCAAGTCACGACATTCGCTCGCATGGAATGAGTCCGTACTTAACAACTGGGCTGCCATGCTGCATTCTGGAAAGGATTCAAGCATTTTATTCCAGATGGTTTATGACATGCTACGTCGAGGGTCGTGATCATCGCTGCGAACGATGTCTTCCGGCCCAGGGTGATGGCTAGATAGCACACGCGCCATGCTCCACACCACTCTATGAACATGAACATGTTGCCTACACCCGCGCTGTACTCAGCGTGGGAGCTCTGAGTGACCTGATCATGTGACCTCACCCCGGAAGTCGGACTTTGTCGGTGACCTTGTCCGTGACGCAGGTCCCATGACCTCCCTCCACGGCTGCCGTAACCAACCTAGGGAAATCGACCCCAGGACCTGACCAAAACGCATGCCGTCCATCGGCGGCTGTGGGCTGGGGACAGCCTGTGGTGCGCGGTGCGCCGGTAAGCGGGGGCGCTCACCCTCCTCCGACGTGCACGGCCGCATGATCCGCCGGTGGCTGACCTCCCGCTCCGCCCGGCGCGGCTCGGCCGCAGCCCGGCGCGGTTTCACCTGGCGCACGTGCGGCCATTGCGCCGCAGCGCCAGACGTGGCCAGCATTGATGGCCGGCCAGCGGTACCGCGCGCGTTGCGAGCCCGGCCCAGGTCGGGCGGCCGGCGGGGTCGCCGTCCGCTCCCGCGGCCGACTCGGAGACTCGCTCTGTTGTCCGTGTCGTAAGACGCGACGCGCTGGCGCGGGACGCCGCGGACGAGCCGGCCGTGCTTAGGTCACGGTCCGTTCGGCACTGAACGACGCGTGTGACCGGCATACGACCTGCAGCCCTCTCCCCTCCCCCTCGCCGGCCCGCCCCGCCGCGGCGCCTTATGAGAGAGAAAGTGGCAGAGCTCGTAAGCGGCACCCTCCGGCGCGGGGCGCCCAGCAGTCGAGACCAGCGGTCACGCTGTCTCCCTGATGGAGAGTCCATTGTGCAGACGCTGGAGATGGAGAAATACAGAGAGAGTTGCACATCTGGTTTGTCACATCAAAGGAATTATTGCAGCTCAAGGTTAAACAGCCCGCAAACACCCTTATCTACTCCAGCGCGGCTTCTAGTGCCGTCTCCTCCATTCGGTGCCCGCTAGGAATCAACATTTCCAGTGTGGAGTGCTTACATCATCGACAGGATAACCCGATCGTGATTGTTCGGACAAGCAAAGATGCTGGGTGTTGATGAGTCTCGGGTGCTCGGATGTTTATGATTTACAGTTGCCGGCTCTGTTTCAGACACGGACGACACCGTGCTGTCCCCTGCCGGCTCGCCAATATCCAACAAGGCTCTGCTCTTCAACGACACCATGCGGCTGCATATGCCGACGGCGCGGCCGACAGTGCTGGACGTGTTCCCCGCCGCCTCCGGCGAGCGACGCTCCAGCATCGTCAAGTCCAACTCATTTCGGGCGCACATGTGTCGGCCGCGTGAGCCGCCGCCCCCGCCGCCCGACAAGTCAACCGCGGCGCCCTCAGTCGCGCCTCCGACGCAGGGCACGGCCTCCAGGTCTATGGAGCCCGATAGCCCGGCAAAGCCACGTCCGCCCTCCAAGCAGCCGGCTCCTCCCACGGTGGCGCAGTCGGCGCCGTCGGCACCGGGTCTAGCCTTCGCGGACGACGCGGTGACGTCGCGGCCCGCGTCGCTCTCGTCGTTCCGGCCGGACGCGCCGCTGCACGTGAGCGGGCTCCTCAGCGAGCTCGAGTTCGGCCGGCGCCGGTCGCAGACGGCGGCGCGCGGCCGCAGCCAGCCGCTGCGCGCCGTGCCTATCCCGCAGGTGCCGGCCGGCGGCGGCGGCCCGCCGGCGGCCGCGCGCGTGCCGCCGCTGCACCACTCGGCGTCGGCCGACTCGGTGCTGCAGAGCCCGGCGGCCGGCAGCCGTCTCTCGGTCTCGTCGGACGGCAGCGACACGCCGCCGCCGCTCCCGACCAGCCCGCCGCCGCTGCCCAGCAGCGCGCCGCCTCTGACCAGCAGCGCGCCGCCGCTGCTGGGCAGCGCTCACCGGCCCGACAGCGCCTCGCCGCCGCCGTTGCCGGCCAGCTCTCCGCCGCCGCTGGCCGACGACGAGCTGAGCGAGCTGGCGTACGAGCGCCCCTCGCCCGAGAGCCGGCTGCAGCGCGTGCTTGACTCGATCGCGGCCGAGCACCGGGCGGCGGCGCGACCCGGCGGCGTGGCCGCGCCGCGCCCCCTGCCGCTGGCCGAGGCGGCCGCCGCGCGCCTACTGCTCCGTCGACGCCATGATCGAGTGGCGCTCGGCCGACGAGGAGCTGGACCACATTTACGAGGAGATCCCGGAGAGGCGGCAGCGGCCGCGGCTGCGCGCACTCCTGCAGGCGGCGGCGGCCGGCTCGCCCGAGCAGGTGCGCTCGATGTTTGGCGGTGCCTCGCGAGCCGAGATCCTCAGCTACCTGCAGACGGCGCGCGAGCGGCAGCTGACCACCGAGGCAGAGACCGAGTACGGCTGGGGCGCGCCGGACTGCACCGGCCACACCAGCCCGCGCAGCTCCAACAGCGACTCTTCCGAGTACGGCAGGCCCGCCAGCTCCAAGGTACGCGGCCGTCCGGCCGGCCGGTCGGCCCAGGCGGCGCGGGGCGGGAGACGATGTGCGTGAGGCGCTGCTCTGAGTTTTATGGAGCTCGTGTGCACCCGAGAAAAGGCAAATTTATGCAAAGCACCTCTGATGGACACATCGGTAATTGGATGCTGTGTTAGGCGGACGGGAAACGGCATATGAATGAGGGCGTCGTTAACCTGCGGATAAAGGTTTCAGCCCAATGTACACCTAACCCAAATACCTATCAACGGGGATCTACGCCCAGGCGCCCTGCGTGAGTGCCGCTCACGCTGATCCAAGTAGGGCCATGGCCGCCGAGCTGAGTGCGAGGGCCACCCTGTCCGGTTTGAAGCGTCCCCCGGAAGAGCGGACAGTGGGGGCGGTCGCCTCAGCTGGCCTGAGCTGGGCCCGCCGTCATTATACCACCCGTCCGGCCGCGCGCCGCGCCCCGCCCCTCTTCCGAGCGGACCGCACGGGGCGCCGGCCGAGCCCAGGCGACCCCGCCCTGACTTCCTCCGCGCGTGACCGACATCCCCGGCGTGTTAGCCGCTAGTCTGCCTGGCTGCTGTTGGCTTCCCTCACCAGCGTAGTTACCAACTTAGCTTGTGGGTTTCACCGTGAGGGAAAATAGGGAACATGCTCTCCTGACATGCCGCGGAGTTCAACGCGATGCGTATGGCGTCGCGGAGAAAAGGCGCGTTAACTCACGCTTTTTATACTTGGCTGGTCTTCCCGCTCGGCCTACCAGATTAAATCAGCCCAGTCCAGCCCGCCAGTTCTGACCGCTGAGGTCATCACGCTGCGCCACTTCTGACCGATATCCAGTAAGGTCGCGCCGGCCGCCGCCGCCCCGCCCGTCCCGCATCGCCGAGCGGCGATCGGCCGCTCCGCCAGCTGTCAGCGCGCACAATGTCCCACTAATCGACCGCCGCTCCTAAGCGCGACCTCGGCGAGGTCAGTCCGCAGACGGAGTCCGCCATTAGCGCGGTCGACCCGATAGCGGCGGTGGCGGCGGCGGTGGGACAGTGCCGCCCCTGTCCGGCCGACGCTGACGGGCGGTGTGTGCGGACAGGGCGGCCGCTGTCTGTCGGCGGAGGTGGAGCGGACAGACTCGGGCGTCGGCTCGGAGACGAGCAAGGCGCCGGTGCGGTCGGGCCAGCTCGGCGCCCACGACTGCGACGACTGCCGCCAGCCCGTACAGACCCAGGTCACCGACAGGTGAGTGCCGGCGCAGAGGATCCAGTGCAAAGCGGGCGGCGAATTAGCCTCGCTCTGACCGCTCACGCCGTGATCGTATGTCTGGTGATTTAGGAGGTCGTCAAACATGCCATCTAAGCAACGGTCGTGTAATGACAGTCGCTGCTGCCCGTCATGTCCACCGGCCGTGGCTTGGACCAGATCGCCCTGCCGTCAGAGTTCGTCAGGGTCCGTTACCGAGAGGCCTCCGCTCACCGGCCGGGAGTCCCAGAGGTGTTAATCGGCCCTGCTCCCTGGCACCGGGTCGGGCGCCGGCGGCGGACGCCGGGTCCGGCCTGGCCTCTGTCCGCGCGGCCGGCGCTATTAACCCCGGGCCGTGGGAACCGCCGCACCTTTTTGCGCCGGACACCAGCTGCTCGCTGAGCCAATTAGGATAATGGCGGGCGAATGAAGGCGTCGCGTCGCCGTCCGGCGAGACGTCGCCACGGCCGGCCGGCCTTAGGCGGCGCTGCCTGCGTAGCCAAGCCTGCAGCAGCCCGTCTATACTCCCGTTACGTAGAGACGCTACCTCTCAGCGTTAATGGACGGCAGGTCGGGCGACGCAGTGACACGGCGCGGTCACACGTGTCACGCGGTGTCACCGTGCGGTTGGGCTCGGTCACGCCCGGACCATGTGTGGACGCTCGTGTCGCAAAGTAACACCGGTACAATTCGGGTCACTGGTCGCATGTGGCTTACTTCGATAATTTTATGACTCCATGAAACGATGGGAACCTTTCCTGCCAAAACGCAGCGGATGAACGTCGTCCACGCGCCGCCGCCGTGCAGACTGTGGACGGCTGTTTGTGCGGACGCCACCGCTGTCTGGACGGCAGCACCGTCCGGATCACCTGCCTCCCGACCGCGCCGATCGATCTCCGGCCCGCCGGCCTCCCTCTGCCCCGGCCACGGTTTTTACACACGTGGTTAAAGTCGAATCAGCCGCCGCCGCGATGAGCCTGAATTACAGCTCGCGGCCGCACGGGCAGGCGCGATCGTCGGTCCCGAGGTGCCGAACGGAAACCAGTGAGCGGCCGCGGCGTCACGGCGCGCTCATCGCCGGTGCCGGGGTCGGTGACCTGACGCGGTGACCTTGACCCGGCAGCGGGGTGCGGTTCGACCCGTCCGTGTGCAGGAAGTGCCACAAGAAGCGTCAGGAGCGCAAGGAGATCCTGACCGAGATCGTGGAGACGGAGCTCAAGTACGGCCGCGACCTGCGCGTCATGCTGGAGGAGTTCTACCGGCCGATGCTGGTGGCCGGCCTGCTGACGCATGAGCAGCTGTCGCAGGTGAGCCTCAGCCCGTCACAGGTCGGCAGCTGTCACAGGTGAGCTTCAGCCCGTCACAGATCAGCAAATGTGAAGGAGTCAGCAGTTGACACAAGTAAGCTGCAGGCACAGGTTATGATCCAGTACAGGTCAGCAACTGGCGCGGATCAGCAGCTGTCACAGGTGCGCTGCAGTCGGTCACATATCCGCAGTTGTCACACGCCAGCTGTGGCGTAGTCCAGGCCAGCAGCTGTCACAGGCCAGCAGCACTCCCAGCTTGGTTGCCATCCAGCCGTCAAGCGACTGGCGCAGCCTGCTACTGGCTGCTCCATCAGCATCACGGATCCAGAGAAAAAGTCAAACAAAACTGATGCGGGAAATTCCTTATATGGCGCCCTTATCAATGTAGCGGTCGTGCTATATCCACTCTTGCAAAGGAAGGTGGTGGTGGTGGTGGTGACCATGGCGTTCCAGTCGCGGCACAATCTGTATCTAGCCATGCCTACTTGCACATTGTCCGCCTCCTGACCCGCAAATCACTCCCCCTCTCCTCAGACCAGCTACCTGTTTAAAGCAAACGGCATTGTTGATCATCCCAGACATTGTCGATATAGCAGCAGCTTCATATGCAAACGATCACCTGGAAACTGCGATAAGGAGCTATGAGGACTATACGTCATGTTTTGTTTTGTACTGTAGGCGTTGGTAACAACATAAACCAATATCAATGATAAAGCGGGAACAAGGATGTATGCAAGAGTGCGGGGGACCGGGGACACGTCATTATCAAGTACGGGAGACCGGGGACACGCCATTATCAAATTGCTACACGTATGAATACGCATGAGGCTAAAGGTCTCCCCCATTCCAAAACCGTGCGTTCGCTCCAGTGCGTAATCAAGCCAAAGTGCACTGCTGCTGGAGAGCTCCACGACACCTCGTTCTCCTTCTTCACGTGCACATGCCCCCGCGCCTCTCAGATATTTCTCAACGTGGAGGAGCTGCTGGAGGTGAGCCGCCAGCTGACAGCGCGGCTCAAGGAGGCGCTGGAGGCGGCGCTCAACCAGGGCGACGACGACCTGCTGTCGGTCAGCATCGGCGACGCCTTCCTCGACGGCCTGGACAACACGCTGAGGGCGTTCGAGACTTACTGCACCAAGCAGGCGAGTACCCCCGCCGCCGCCGGCTGACGTGTCACGTGACAGTGCTCTCGGCGAATCACACGCGAAGGAGAATGCCTCGCGGGTGTGGTGACTGGGTACAGCGCGCTACCGCGGGGTCCCGGCCGGCGGCGGCAGCAGCTACCGGGCCAGGCTTAATGGCAGGCTCGGCTGACAGCGCGCGGCGAAAGTTTGCGATGGATTTTATCAAAATTGATACCAAGTAAGGGGCAAGAATATCAAGTATGTGGTTCAGCCAGGTGAAGCAGCCGCAACTGTTTGGAATTTGCGCAATGGTGAAAGCAGGTGAACAATGATAGTGGAATGATGTAAAGGGCTTCACAATCCACAAGCGTTTTTTGCACCTTTGATTGCGCTTTGTTTGCTCTCATACATATGGATAAGTTACAGAGGCTCTTATGAGCGATCGTGCGCTTTGTTTGATAGTCCAAGACATTAACCATGATGTCGACATTTAAGAGTCTACAAAAAGCTAAATTTGCTGATAAACTACGCTGACGTTCTATCGTGTGGAGGGGCTAACAGAACCACGCTGGGTAAATGAAAGTGAAGAAAATACACAGAAAAGTTCATCGTTACAACCATTCGGGCAAATTGTCCACATGATACTGTAGAATTCAAAGCGTGCGAAGCTTCCATTACAACCACGCCGACCGAACGCGGTCATCGATTTTGCACGAGCGGCACACCCCGTATAGCGCAGCGCAGATTTAGCCCGAGTGGTGCGGCCACTTGCTACCTCGGCCGTCCAACGGCGCCCCCGCAGGCCCAGCCGCCTGGTCGGTTGAGGGAAGTGAGCGGGTCAACCCCGCATGCGGTGTGTTGCGGTGGGGCCAGCCCGGCCGGCCGGCGCCTCGCCGCGGCCGGCGCGCCGCAGAGCCGCCGGCGCGTGCCGCCCGTGCCTCCGACGCCGGGCTTTTTGTGCGGCCGGCCATCACACCAGCGTCGGTCTGACGGCCGCGGGCCGCGCACACCTCGCTGATGGACGGGTCGGCTGCAAAACGGGGCACACGCCGTCAACGCCTCACGCTTTTGTAGCGCGGATAGCGTCCGTATCAGGGCCGCCACAACGGGAAAGAAGCCTGGAGCCGTTTAATGAGGGAATCACTTAGAGACGAAAAACGGGAACGACTGGCAAGAAGCAAATGTAATTGGGAATATATAAAAGAGACTGGTGTAAAAGCCAGTCACAGCATCACGTGGCGGTGTATGCTCACGATGTAGCATACCAGCTGGAATATCTGCGGTACAGGGAGTTGTTTTACACACTTTCCCTCGCACACCCATGTAATGGGATGTATTGACACATTTCTCAAGTCCATTTGGCTGTTCGTGATTGCGTTCACATGACCTTGTGGTCAGAACCCGCTCGGCTCTGACCGTCGGTGTTGTTTGCAGGGCGCTGCATCCCTTCTTCTCGCCAATCTGGAGAAAGAGAAGGAGCTGCTGCGCGTCTTCCTGAAGGTCTCCCAGATGGAGAACAACCTCTTGCGGCGCATGAACCTCAGCTCCTTTCTCATGGTAATGACCGGGTGACCTGCCCGGTCTTCAAGTCTGCAAGAATGCCAATGTCGCCTAATTTGCATCAAGGCAAATGGAGTACAGGTGGAAGCGATCTTTGGTCCTGGGTGTGTTATCATGGTCCAATCATTACAAAAAGCCCAACTACAATTGTAATCCAAACACATTTTGTAATTGAGTGAGAAAATCCACTATTGAGCTTCCAGCGAGTCAAGGATTAAGGAAAATGACGGGTGTTTTACATGGGAGGGTGTGGAGGCACCTAGTGAGCGCGTGGGAATGTACCCCAAGTCCCGCCGGTCCAGGATTTTCAGCGGTATGCGGCGAACTTACGTCGGCACCACGCCCCAGGTACCGATCCAGAGGGTGACCAAGTACCCGCTGCTGCTGTCGCGCCTGCGGAACGTGACGCCGGTGGGCCACGAGAGTGGCGCACCGCTGGCCGACGCCCAGGAGCGTATTGAGCTCCACCTGGAGCACATGAACGCGGTCAGTGCACGGAGTGGAGCCCGCACCGGGCCGGGACCGACGGCCCGGCCTGCCGGCCTGCCAGGCGTGTCCGTGGCTGCTGGTGACTGTCAGGCAGCGTACCGAACCGCTTAATGTGAACGGCGCGCATTTGTATAACACAAGAGAAGTTGTTAACAAGAAATCTTGACGCTGCGCTGCTGACATAAAGATGCAAAGATATTGACGCGAGATTCGTTCATGCAAAGTTTTTGCAATGTCCCGGATCTTACACAGCCTTGCGGCCTGCCCCCCCCCCCCCCCGGCCGGCCGTTCCGCCGTACTCGTGCCGTGGCTGGAACGTGGCCGGGCCGTGCGTGACCGCCCCTGTCCGGTCCGCCGGCAGACGGCCAAGGACAGCGGCGGATCTCGCATCTGGAGGCGCATCTCCATGATGGGCGGCGCCGCCACGCCCATCAAACGGAGCGTCTCCGAGCAGGACATCACGACCCTCCGGCTGCGCAAGGTGAGCAACCGCGACAGGGGGCGCTCGGGCCCGTCCTTGCTCAGGACGTTGCCGCACAGACTGAGCTAGCGGACACGAGGCGCCTCGCCGGAGCTCTGGCCAGAACGTCAAAGGTTCACTACGGGTAGGAGTGTGCTCAAACGGTGTCGTAGCCGCGTGGTCTTCTGGAACGTGCAGTTAAGGTACCCGTAGTGTTCGAGGTACGCGTTTGGAGCGCTTCGGCCCGGGTGAGATGCGACGCTCAGCCGTCTCTCGGTGCCCGTGACGCGGAAACGTCGTGCTGTTTTTACGTTGGTGTGGATTGGACCTGATGGGGATCGCAGTATTGATTGATTTGATGATGTGGTTTCTTGTGCAAATCAACTCTGAATGTTTTGCTTGCAAAACATCTGCCATCCACGTCGTCATTACGAAGCTGTTCGTGCCGACGTTCGGTATTCTGCCTGTTCTCATTCCTGCTGCGCGCGTGATCTGGCGCCGGACACTGCCTCGTGCCATGCTCTGCGACGCGGAAACCGACTGACGCCGCGGCGCCGCCGACAGTTTGGCCTGGAGACGCTGGAGTGGCCGGCCGAGGAGTCCAGCGTTGCACTCGACGGCCGGCTGCTGTACACGCTGCCGTCGGAGAACAACTGGACGCGGCGCGGCCGGTTCTCGGTCCGCATGACGGCCGTGCACGCGCTGCTGGTGACGCTGGGAGGCGCGCCGGCCGACTGGAGCGCCCAGCTGGGCGGCCAGCGGCCGCTGCTGCCGCGCACCGGCCGCCTCCGGCAGACGGCGCTGCTGCTGGTCAAGGACAAAGCGCCCGGACGTATGGCGCTGGCCAGGGTAGGCCACCGCTCACGCAGACGGACGTCACAAGAGGGCACGCCGATAGATGGCGGGACTCCACTTGCAGCGGCCTGTTGTATACCAGGGTCTGGATGCTGCCACTCCAATTTCGTTGCTCCACTTCGAGATGCTACTGTAGGCAGAGAAGCACGTCGTTAAGTTGGGTGTCGATGTTCCTGTTGTTCGTTTAAATTGATGTGAATCAATGGCTACAGTGGGAGAACGTGCACTAGAATAACGTAGCAGCATTTGCAAGCATTCAAGGTCGGTGTGATCCATTGTCAGTTTGGACCCAATACGAGTTAATTACCGTGTTTCAGGACCCGATAAATCTGGACAAGTGCATCATTTGCACAGATCCGGAGGTTCGAGACTGCTTTGAAATTCACGAGCACACAACCAAAGAATCACTCATTGTCAAGGTAAGACATCAGGATAAACTGAGCGATGCTGGTCAGCACGCTGACACCTCAGACCACTGACAAAAAATTGTCACCTTGTCCACCACCCCCAATGGCGCGTCTTCTAGTAATTTGTTCTACGCGACCGCTTCCGTGTTTCTTGCCCTTGTTACAGTGAACGCACAGTTTAGTCGTCTTTGGATCCCAGACTCTCGTTGTCCGTTCTCACTCTACTCATGACCGGTTCTTGGCTCCATCCAGGCAGAGGACGCCGAGCGGACAGAACTGTGGCTCCGGCACCTGCAGTACTTCGCACAACGCCTCGGGGGCTGGAGAAAGCGGCGCAACGGCCTGGCCAACATCATGATAGGCCTTTCCGACGTGTAGGTGCTGCCACCTAGGCAATGCTGTGACACCTGGTGCTGCCATCTGTGATAATCAGCCGACGCACACCCGTCAGGCCGGCTGAGCGTCAAGCGGACACGGCCTGCGTGCGCTGCTGACCTGTCCGTGACCCGCGCGCGACGGCGGCCCCTCCGCGGCACGGCAACCGTGCTGGCGGCCTGGTGGGTCTGGGAAGAGTTAACCGTAGGCGTGAGGCTAATCCGGGAAGCGGCGAGTACGACGTAGCATGCGTGCTCTCGCGGCTTGTGTAGCGTTTGTCAGTGCTAATATACGCCAAACAAAACACGTGTCGTCGAGGCGAAGAACGTTATGCTGGTACCCCAGGAATGTGGGACTGAAAAATAGCTGATGAGACGGATGCGGTACCTGGCACCGTTGCGCTGAAGAACCACATCGACCAGTTCCCGTCTGGCGACATCCGTGACAACGCTACCACAACAACGCGGGCACTGCGACATTCCTCCCCAGAATATCCAGAATTTTTCTCCAAGACTAAGGTACCATGGTGACACCCAGCCGTGAATTGCTGGGGAAACGCGCCCGGTGGAATCAGCTGCAAAATGCACATCGCTGAGAACTATCACACATATGCCCTACCCACATTTTTAATGGTAGGTGTGTACGGCGCAACCGTGCACATTCCATAGTACTGAAAAATAGCTATAAACTGACATCTAAACATATTACATGACTAAGGCTAACTGTTGTATTAGCATGACCCCAGTACCGTGCATTTTCGAATGCGTGCGGTCCGCCGGAGCGCTACGGTTAAAACAGGGCAGAGTTTTATAAAAAGTTTCAATCGTAGGCGGAGGGTGCGACCACACCCACTCGATAGCACCTGAGAGGATTGTCATCTAGCGCCACAGCATGGTTCTCCTGCAAAGGAAGCATTTTGATTGGCATGACCGGCTGGCGAGCAAGAGAGAATGTGGGAGGCCGGCCGGGTTTGGGCGGCGAAAGTACTGCAGCCGGTTCAATGCATCTATAAACATGCGCGGGTGGTGCAGCGATGCTCAGCTGATAGCACTTCCGGATGGCAATCGACTGGCTCCATAATATTGTGCTCGGCCGGAGATACTTCTTTCATTGTCTACCAGTTCATTACCGAATGGATGCGGCCGGCTGAAGAATAGATTTCGGGGGGGGGGGGGGGGCAGGAAGTAGTCTAAGAAGTAAGATTCCCACCTCCGCTTAACCCGTGAGCTCAGCCAATAGGCGCCCTCATAACTGCGCGGCGGCGTAGAGTTGTCCCGAATTCAGATCTGTATGGTCCCTTGCGCGGTGTTATATGTCCTGACGCGCGATAATGTTTGCAATGTGATACTTCGTAGGCTTTCTGCCCCAGGCTCCATTGGCCCCAGAACATCACGGTCATGAAAATACAGTGTCCAGGGGTGTAGTTACGGATCTTGGGTTGCGAGAATCATTTTAGGGGTTTCCTAGACAAATGGGGCCTCCTCGCAGGTTGCGGGAGGCTCTTGGGTGTGACATTTCATACAGTCTGCTGAGTTTTTTGGTGGATCCGCACATCAACCTGTTCGCACTCTCCAAAGCTCTATTGCAGTCACCTAGTTTGGAGAAATACCGTATTCACCAAAGCTGTATCTATCGTTTTTTTCTAAGTTTGGAGCAATGGAAGCTCGCCTTTCTCACATAAATTTAGAGTTTGGATGGACCAAAATAATTCTATTTTTCGGCCACGTAACTCAATGGGAGCGCGCCATAACGACCAATTTTAGAAAAATGGCATCTCTCTTCGTTTTTAGGCGTTACCTTGCTAGGCGAGCAGACTTTTACTACGTGCATATTGCGTAATCCTTGACGCTTATCAAATTCACAAATCAAAGCAATATTATACATGTTTGGTTACCATGACCTAAAGGCCGCACAAGACTTCTGGCCCAAAATGAACACCAGCAACCTTTTACTAAGAACAGTTACCTAAGTTCAATGCATTTGTATGCGGAGGTCTAGGTGCTCTTGGGGCCTTAAGCTGGTGTTTAACCTTGCTTGACGTTACTTGTTAAGACAGTTGTGGTCCAGGAACCTCAAATTTTGACACAAGTGATTTCACACGCAAGCCAACTCACCCAGCACATTTGAGGTTTCCGTCCTTCTTGTTTTTTTTTCAATCTCTTTCCCTTTCAATCTCAGTCTCTTTTCTCAAACCAATTTTTCAGTTTTTTTGCGATGTGTTGCAAACATGACAGAACACACACGTTGGTAAAACCAAGGCAAATCAAATGCATTACATTCAGATTAGTGAGCAGGGAGTCAAGTGAGGCTCCTCACGCAAGATCGACTACTTGAAATAAAAATTTTGCGCTGTTCAGAGGACTTTTGAAACAACTGGTATTACTTATAAATTCGTACGCATCTCATCAAAAATCAGCACGAAGTGCAACAAGATGGCATGCTTTCTTTAATTCTGATGTGCAGGCAATAGCACCAGCATGCAAAATTACAGCGGTCAACGGAAAATGATTATTATGGACCGCAGTGCGCACGGTCTCGATGCGTGCCATCATGTGTGTGCATAGCACTGTGTTTGCACTGTCATCCGCCGACATAAATGTCTATATAAATCTATACAGATGATGCAGTATTAATAGCCTGATTCCTTAGATTCCTTCTCCTGGTTATCCTTATCGGATAACCAGGAGAATGGAAAGATAGATGCATTAATATTTCGACTACATGCCTTCATCGAAATGAATATCAGTGGTTATACTAGTGATTGAATGTTGGTCGTCGCTACTGATATTCGTTTCGATAAAGACATGTAGCCAAAAAAGCAATGCACCTATCTCTCTCTATTCGCCTGACTATTGTACGAAGAATAAAACTGTAAATACTGTCTCATCTATATGCATGATGCTCCTCGAAAATGCAATCATAGCCTATGTAACAACTTAAACATTAATCCGCTTTCGCGTACAGAAAAGTGGAATTTTGGTCAACTTCTACTAGAAATCGAAGTGCTAACTACAACCGGCCTGTCCGTAGAGTACTGGTCATAATACTGCGGCCGGCAAAATGCATATATTTAAGTCTGAAAATTACAACTGTGTGCATTCGAAAGCCTGACTGCTTAAAGAATGATAGTCATCATTCGGCACCCCGAAAAAATACTTTTGATCGAACTGGAAGATTGCGTGGAAATCAAATCAACCTTAAGCTTCTCTAAAACTCAATCAAACTGGAAATAGACCCACACACGGGCGGCGGATATTCCACTGGTCATCCGGGGGGGGGGGGGGGGGGGGGGGGGCAATGTTGACATTGGACGCTGTAGCTATGAAAACTACTGCTCATACCAGTGAGTAAGCATTGAGTGATATGTTTTTTGTTTTTTGGAAGATAAGCATCAAGACAAAATCGAAACAAAACCCACGAGTGCGTTGTACTGTCAACATAACCCTATAGCCTTATACCCTATACCGCTGTTATCGAATGCACGCAGTCGCAATCTCCCGGTGTCAATATTTCTTCGCGGTTCGCCGCCTTACGGCCATCATTCTATGCTCAAGCCCATAGCTCAGCATGATTAAGGATTGTTTTGATTGGAAAGGTCATATCGGGCAAAGAGAGATTGACATCACCACCCGATAACGCCCCCAAAATGATGTCGTCTGTACCAAGTTGCACCTTCCATGCAAATATACAAGCAAATATACCTACATCTCTACGTATTGACATGCACTTGGATAGAGGGGTCAACTTGAACCCCGAAGGTTTGTACAAAATCATTTTTGAACGGCGAGGCGCAGCCGCGCCAACTTGGCATATCTGTAGGCAAATGAATAGTGGATCTTCTGGTATACAGAGTTAGATGTACCTTTCACGGTCGCCAATCTATGGCAGACCAGATTCGTGGCTGTGGATAAAGACAATCTCTGAGGAATTGTTCAGTCTGATGCGACAACGAAGAGTTAGATGAATCCATATATATCTGGAATAGCTTATTAGTCAATTAAACAATTCGATTGTAAGATGATAAGAAACTCAATGGTCTCGGGAAGCCAACACGTAAGTCCACACCAGCCAGCTTTTAACTTACGTAATTTTTTCAGTGCATTAGCAAGGAACATTATTCACATAGATCAGACAGAAGTATTAGCCTTATTCGTCGGAGAAAACGAAGAGAATAGAGATGTGGTTGGATTGATATTTTGGCAACATGCTTTCATAGAGACAATAGCAAAAGTGAATTTAAAATTGCCTGTCGATGATCCTACTCGATTCTTCAGGGCTTTTTAAAATCAAAACGCATTACGCTTCACTCAAACATGCAAGCGAGTTGAAGCAAACAGGTATCACACATTGGGCCTCAATTATACACGCAAGCGATTTCAATTGAACAGGCATCGCACATCATACGTCGGGCATCACTTACACATGTAAACGATTTTAACACGTGTCCGGGTGGCCGGCTAGATACCCTTCGCTCGGGTGGGGTTCAATTTGAAACCCCGCCCCTGAGATCTCGGAAACTAAGAGAGCTAGAGACACCAAATTCACAGGGTGTGTTGATCTGTGCGTGAACTCACTTAGGTCAACGTTTAAGGCTGCTAAGCCATGACCTCCAGGTCAAATAAGGTCAAACAGGGTCAAATTCTAGGTTGGTCTACAAAATTCTCCAGAACCTAGATACCTGTTTCCAAACACGTCACATGCTCATTTAAGGTCAGTGAACTTGTCTGATCCTTTGGAGGTCGTGGTGACCAAAGTCATACAAGAATGCTTTGAGTTTCGCATTTGAATACGCGAAAGATTACGCTAGGCAGTGTGTTTCTAAAAAAGACAAAAAACGTTGACCTGTGTCATTTTAGGTTAATGACTTATTTTGACCTCTGAGAAGTCCATGGAAGATATATAATGTGGCTTCTGCTATCAAAAAACTTGCAACGAGCACCAGAAACTATCCCACACAGCAAGACCTAGAGCAATGAAATTGATTGATTTTGACCTCGGTCTGACCTTCATACCTGACCCTAGGTCAACGTATTTTGCTCATTCAATATTTGTGTCGCCTAAGAAAGCATCTCAGAGATGAATGGCTTCGTCTAACACTCCTTTGTGGCATCAGATTGAACAATTCCCTAGAAATCGACTTCGCTGAAACCATAGCCTGACTTTGACTTGCCATAGGTCAGCGACCTGATGAGGTACGTGTAAATTTTTTATGTCAAACAATACACCATTTAATTGTCTACAGCTATGCAAAATTTAGCGCGGCTACGCCGCTCCGTTCGGAAACCATTCTGGAAAACCTTCGGG